ATCTCGTTCGCCAGAATCGTCTGAAGTTAATATTGTGGTAACAGCACTGAGTCATCGATAAACTGTGTGAGTTTGGTCTTTCTGCTACGTATAGTAAAGGTGTAAGGACTTGCCAAAGATGGTATTTGAGAAAAGACAGATTTTGGCAATTTCACCATATGAAAAATGTTTTTTCAATTTTCTCATACAGGAATTGAAAGATTTATCTAATATTGCACATTTATGTGTTTTGGGACTATCCCAACTTATAAACCAAATTTGGTCAAAATCTGTGATTGAAGCCTTAGCACCTTCTGCATGGTTTTCTCGCGGACACGCTCTTAATAGCTAACAATAGACAGAGGTTTTGAAATTTATAATGACTGTCCATTGATTTGGGGTGTTATATACTATTAGGATAATATGTGACATCAAGGACTAGTTTCTACATACTGTCAGTTGATATCAATGGATTAAACTTTCCGGCAATGGAGACACCACCGAGGTAATCACGTAGATAAGATTGATACTCATTATTGGATTGATGAAAAGTCCGACAAAAGAGACGCAATGACTTCTGTTCAAGATTAGATTGGTAAATTTCCCGACAAAGTAATAAGTCAGTCAAGCAAGGCAGATTAAGCAGGTAAACTACGTAGGTGTATAGACGGTATGATACGATAAATACGCTGATCACGTAATTACCTAATCAATCCAGCCTATTATCAACAATTATCAGGATGAGTGGTAGTTATACACTCAATTTACTATATTAATTTTGAAATTCTGAATATTATTCATCATACCTTGATGTCCGATTGGGCATATTCCTGGCCGGGCATTTGGAAAATAGCGTAGGACATGTCCGGAATATACGGGCGAAATCCCAACACTTAAGAAATTGAAATTTGACACGAAAAGTGACAAATTTCCTAACTTTCGACACAAATTTTCATGCTGTTGAGGGTTAGTTGACAACGATTTTATTTTTTATGTTAGAACAGGTCAAGCTGCAAATAAAACGATTTTCACTTTTTATCGCAAACCCTGCTCCAGTGGAGTTATCGCAATTTGAAGAAAGAGTATAATTCAGGTGTCTGCAGACACATATTTTGTGTAGTGCTATGACACCTACGGAAAGAGAGGCTGCATTGGGTGACCTGGACTATAATCACCAACCAAAACTTAGTTCGCTATTGGTCGATTAAAGGTTATAGTAATGCTACGAAAATGGTCGAAATTTGACCTGAAAATGACGAAAATCAGCCGAAAAACGTAATCAGGCTGTATCTCAGAAACGGTTGATTTCTAAAATCGATGATTTTGGCTGGGGAGTAGGCTCGATGGGGCGACCAAACCCTGTAAATCTGAACTCAATCGGCCGACCCCCACCTTCAAACCTTCTGCATGGTTTTCTCGTGGAATGGCTCTTAAATAGTTTAGATGTCATTTGTTAAGGCATCGCTCAACAGCGGCCTCGCTTTGTACACTCTATCATTTAGCCTCAATCCGGGAGTATGACGTCAACGTAACGGTTAATCTCCACTCACGACGCCATTTAAAATTAAATCAGTCAACGAAATCCTGTTTAAATCCAAGCTGAATCCAAGCCATCCGTGGGTCTACAGAGTTGATTTTGTGCTTGTTGTGTAAATAAAGATCTAATTTATAATTTCTATGACATCTGAAGCCTAAATAAAGACTTGCAATAATCAGATTTAGCTCTTGCATAATGTATGTTTAATGTAAAATATTAGTAAATACCATGGACCTTATAGTACATAATTAGTTCCATGTAAATACGAAGATCTTAAGTGCGAATTCCGATACTTTGAAAGTGAATTCCTGTGTTTATAATATGTTTTCAATGTGAATTCCGGTGTGTTTAAAAGCAATTTATTATTAATGCGAATTCAAATATGTTGAAAGTGAATTCTGGTGTTTATATATTTTCAATGTGAGTTTCGGTGATTTTATGTGTTTCAAAGTAATTCAATATTAATATTAATGGAAAATTTAAGTAAATAGGAAGATTTTATGGGTGAATTCTGATATCTTCAAAGTGAATTCCGGTGATTGTAAATGAATTCCGGTGTATGGATTTGGTCAAATAATATTGTAAGTTAAAATTAGGACTGAAATGCTGATAAAAGAGTCTTTTTGATGAATTACAAATAGGTTCTACACATAACTGTTTTAAAACATCTCAAATTTGACGAGTTACAAGATTTTCTCCACATATGTCGAGTAATCTCCCTTTAATGATCAAAATATCATCAGATTTACGAATCATATTAGATTTAAATATTGTCATTGTAAAAGGTGACAAATCACATACAATTCCAACACAATAAACTATAATAACATGAGTTAATTGTCAGCGGTACTTATCTAAATTGATTTCATTTATTTATTTCAAAACAAGTTACGATGTCGATGACGAAAGAGACAATCGACACAATTTGCAATTATAAGTAAATAAATATAGCTATGATATTGAATTGTTTATTGCACTATATACACTGTTTTAATAAACTATTAATAAATCACTATAATAACAATACATTACAAAGAATTGCAACAGAAGTATACACAGTTTCTTGTCAACATTAATCACATGAGTTATCTCTCATAAACCTCTGATTTGGGCACAAAGCAGTGAGGCTTCTTAAACTCAACTAAATTGTTATTTTGTGTTTCCAAAGTCAACAATTTTGGAGTTACTGGGTGTTATTTTGGAGTTATTGAGTAATTCGACGCGCCCTACGTTATCATAATCATGATGCAGCCACCCAAAGGAATTTTCACGGCTGACCGCTTAACGGGAGTGGCCTCTTAATAAAATCTCGGTGCTTTTTGTGCTGACATAAATTTAATATTACGCTTGGATGCATTGGAAGCGAACATCAATACTTACATCGGTAAATTTGACCGTCGCTGAATCTTGCGCCGAACGAAAATTCTTTACTCAAGTCTCGCATATAACTTCTGTAAACTTGTCATTTTGTACCAACCTTCGATACTACTGTCTACCATTGTGATGCATTCGATAATATTTATCCATTTTTGTGAAGAAAATCGATGAATTAATTTGATTTTATCAAAAATAGCACATGAACAAAAAACCATCGCTGATTTTATCACCTATTTACAGGGGGTGTAACTCCGTATGTAACATTATAGGAGGCGCTAAAACGTCTGTTTAACAACAAAGTGGCAATGGAAAAGAGATACTAGATGATCGTGACAAAACTCGGTACTTTTATTTTATTCAATCAGTATCAAATAATGTGTCGTTACGCGTGAAAACAATGATCAGGTTAGTCGTTTAATAAAACAAAAGATTAATTAACAGATAATCCCGGGTTGAATGTTATTTTTACATTTCTTTTTACCTGATCAGTGGGTTAATTAACTACTACTCATGGGATTAGCGGGGGTGTTACAAAGAACGACAAGATGGTATCATTCATTCATTCAACAATGGCCGTTGAATGGGCGATGTTTTGATGAATTTATTAGTAAAATAGTGACCGCTGGCCGCATTAGAGGAGTGACCGTTGAATAAAGAGATGAAACAATAGAATTTTTACGGGGGGAATTTATTGTGACTGCTTACAAGGAAATGTCGCTGAATAAGAGTGGCTGCTCATACAGATTCTACTGTATTTGAAATGAATTCCGGTAGTCTTTCAAATAAATACACCTACAGCGCCTACATCTGGCCTGTGGAGAGATCAAAATAGTTATTCGTGATAGTATACTGTATTATGCATTTAAAATAAATTAGTTTTGTAGGAGGAATCGGGGGTTTTCGAAGTGAATTCCGGTGATTGTAAATGAATTCCGGTGATTAGTGGGGCCCCTTGCCGACTGCTTGGACGATATAGCTGCCTGGCAACATATCTTTGATTTTTTCATATTTGGTATGAAGCATAGTGGTCATTACTCATTAGTTCAGCTTTGAACGTAGGTCTCATTACACTCACCCTGTACATTCAGGAACAGTCCTATTGAATCCTTGTTGAAAATAAAATTGACCCCAGTCAACTTTTTACTGCTAAACGGTGTGGTGTGTCAGTCTCTGTGAACGCCTACACAATGTAAAGGAACATTTTAGTGAGAAAATAAGACCTCGCTAGAGTCAGTATGAGCGACACAACACACTGTTAAAAATATGTCCCCTCCTGTCAAGTTGCCTTTTCGCTGCCATGACACTCTAAATATTAAATATTGGTCAACATTATGTTTAGGAATGTCGGCCATACAAGACGAAACGAAATTTAGGTAAAATTGGAATCTTTTAAAAAAAAAATAGAATCTTCAGTCATTTATTGCTTTGCCCACCATTTAATACTACAACAGAATAAAACAAACATTCCAGGTTCATAATAAGGGATAAAACAATTGACTTTCATATTCAGTATTTATTGTAGGACTTGGTGACCAATAATGTTTTAACAAAATCCTAGTAAAACATACACTGTGCTTCTCTGGTTTCATTTTTTTTTTTTTTTTTAAATACATAAATAACAAGGCTGGGTTGTTTTTGTTCTAAAAAAAGAGGAAAAACATATATCAAACTCTGAAACAAAACTTTCCCAATTAAAAATGACAAATAAAGAAATAAAGCAAATATCAAGCAATCCAATAAATACATAAATATATGGATTAAATTATTCTCAACTAGACTCTATATCACACATACATCTATATACATAGCTTCTTTTTTCTTTAATTTAAAAAAAATTCATTTTTTGCACAGATAAATACAAGGGTAGTAAAGTTTGAAAAATCTAAATTTCGTGTAAGTATACCCAATGGTTACTATATGCACTTTACGGCAAGTTCACACCAATCTGATTAAAAATAATTCGGCTGTTAACGTTTAAGTATCCGACACACCAAAACGCTTTTCAATTTTTCATTTAAAATAAAATTTGCACATGATATAAGCACTTAATAGATAGCCTGATTTAAACAGATTATGTACATGTATTTTATTTATTTGTATATTTCAGGCATGTAGTTTACCAACATTCTGGAAATGTCCATTATTCCGAGCGGCTGGTGGAGAACAAAAAGGTTTTATTACATTTGAGTCCTTCACTAGTATGTGGAAAAAGTAAGTATATCCTTGTTGGAACTCTGATGGAACTGTTGTGGTATAACATCTTTAAATAGTCGATCTTTGTGTTCAAGTGACGTTTTATGGTCACTGGAGACAGCATGCTTTACAAGAGCCGACTTTCTAAAATTCTGGAACCGGTCACAAAACTATTCTTGGTGTTACGTTTCTGACAAAACAATCTTTTGATTAACCAGTGTGTACTGCATATGTGATGAGTTAGACTGTTGACTATTTCTCCATACTTTTTAAACTTATCACGGCCATAGCTAGTGGGGAAGCAAGGCGGGTAGCTGTCCCCCCCCCACCGCCCTTTCCATTTGACACATTACAATGCCTACGACCAATGTGCCCATATCAGTATGGCCGCCACATAAAGCCGAGTGACATTTGTTGGGCGTCCACAACGAGATTGGCGTGGCGCCCAACCAGTGGCACTTGGTTTTATGGGCGCCTCGCCAATCATGCCGTTATATATGAGCACCCCCCCCCCCCCAAATGGTGAGGTTCCGCATAATGACTGACATGATTAACACTACTACTGATTGGGCGTCTAAAACGGCTTGATCTGTGACTTGACTTATCCCAGAGGGGCGCCCATAATGACATGATTGGTGGGGCGCCTTATAATGACAATATGATTGTCAGGCCGTACATAATGCAGATTAAGATTGGTTGGGCGCCCACGACTTGATCAATGGGGCGCCCAGAATGGCATGATTTGTGGGGTGCCTCATCTGGGAGATCATGGGCGTCCATAATATATTAATGCTGAGTAAGATTGCTTAGGCGCCCACGAATGAATATGGCACCCAAAACGGAGTGATAATCTTGAAAATTCAAACAAGTGGCACCAAAGAAGCAGACGGTATCAACAATGCAAGTGTCAAGAGAGGTGACAGCATCATCGTAGCTGTCAATACTACAGTTCACATACACAATAAGAATATTGAGAGACATAATAAAGTTGAATCCTGCTCCAGTTGTGAAAAGAAGTGCACATGCTTCTACAGGCGCTAGGATAGTAAAACGGGCTTCTAATTCTGTGGAAATAAAGTTATGATGAGCAAGAAGAGTCCTGAGTATGATGACTACAGCTTTGTTAGCATAGACACCTTTGCCGACAAGATACTTGAAATTAGTAAATCTCAAAATGACGATTGGGCATTTACAACGATGAAGAACAGCTGACTATTACAGACCTTTCCAATAAGATGCACAAGTACTTTCAAGAGATTGATTCTGGTGCATATGGCAAACAGTATTTGAAATTGAAATTACTAGCGCACTACTGGAGGTTCTATATCCGTAGCTGAGGATGATGGACTACACGATATTGTGACATTTCGGGAAAGAACAAGTAAAATTCTACGGGACTTTTTTAAGCTGGAAGACAAAGACGATCTGCTATGGGAGGTTGTCCTTTAGATTCCATTTACTAACTCCAAATTGGCAAGGAATGATGCACACACTGACCAATGAGTGTGTTCAGCCAGGACAATCGTCGGTGCTGTTCCTGCCAATGATGGACAGGCATCGATATTTCTGCGCACATTTGCTTTAAAAAAACTTTTTTGTAGGCACATTTTTAAAAATTATTACTGTCACGTAAATCATGTAAAATAAAGAATGCTATTTATTTTTATTGTTGTTGTATTTTTGTTTGTTTTTTTGTTTACTTTGATTACTGTATAATAATTTACTAGAATAAGCTAGTCGATGATAAAAACATCAGCACGCGACGTTAGCGATTCCACCTGTGACTTATGACCTATGACCTGTGACCTCTGCTTAATTTAGTGACAATTCTAGTAGAATGCCAGTCGATGATTAAAATAAATGTAAAGTGTGTCGTTTTGATTTTGCATTAAAATAAATGTTAAGTTTGTCGTTTTGATTTTGCATTAAAATAAATGTTAAGTTTGTCGTTTTGATTTTGCATTAAAATAAATGTTAAGTTTGTTGTTTTGATTTTGCATTAAAATAAATGTTATGTTTGTCGTTTTGATTTTGCATTAAAATAAATGGTAAATTAGATATTTGTTTTTAATTTAAATACACTGTAAGTGGAATATTGGAAAATAATTTAGGCCTCATCAGAACAACAGTTATTTTAGTTACGGTGCATGAATATCTTGTCATCGTCAAGGGAAACAACTCTTGTTAGTATCCGAATTATACCGGAAGTTAAGTTTAACGAATGACAACCTGGCTGCGCAAAGGGATTTAATGAACTTGTTTGAAGCCGGTAGGCATCTATTCTATGTTTATATCAACCCCAAACAACAACAATATGCACATCAAACATAATCTTTATTATTAAAGTAATCTATAATACATTAATACAATTTAGAAACCATAATAAAAAAGGTACTAAAAATTATTTATAATTTCTTCTTCTGCCGAGTCCAACCCAAGAAGCTTTCATAAGCCCCCCCCCCCCAACAATCATACTATATACCTGGCAATTGAATACTCTCCTTTTGAGTATGACCCTGCAGGCACATTTTCAAGTGTGAGCTCAGGCACACTCAACTTTTATAGAGCCCTGTGGACATGTACCCTGGAGACAGGACTTGCATCCTTTCCACGTTTGAGTTCATAGCCAAGATTGCATCGAGGCACAACATCTCACCTGTAGTCACTTTCGATCAACCTCTCTTTTGGAAAGCTTCTGAGAATGTGAATGAAGTTGAAAATGATAGCCCAGTTAAAGACGTGCTGCTACTTGGAAACTTCGAGGTCTTCTATGGGGAAAACGCTATCATCCATATGATGAGTGGAAAGGCAGTGTAGCTTGCGCTATGTGGACATCTGTTAGTTGACTAGTGTTTGACAAACCAAATTATCTCCAAGATCATTGAACGTGAACTAGGATTTGAAAGCCTCATAGCTGAAGTTGAGCAGTTGTAATGTCAAGCAGAGGGAGTTGATATAGATGTCACCCAAGTGGACATCTGTCAATACAATAACCTCAAGGAAGCCTGAATTATCCAACATTTCCAAAACGAGCAAACTATGGTTGAACTATATGCAAGCTTATCGAGGCTGATCGTACAGGATCATGGGAGATGCACCTTCATGCTGTATCAGATTGTTTGCCAGTATTGGCTGCTGCGGGTAATCCTAATTATCTGAAGTCTGCCTATCTGTACCGTCAGAAGATGAGAGCCTTAGAGATTGAAAACCCTGAAGTTTTTCGAAAATTCATGCGTGGCTACCATGTCATCCCACGAAGCAACAGCTTCTGAGCTGGTCTTGGATGTGACTTGGTCATTGAACAAACAATAATGAGGTCACTTAAAAGTACAGGGGGTTTAACAAGAGGAAGTGGAATATCAGAACACCAAAAGGGCCATCTGGACGATGTCTTCAACGATTTCCGATATTTACTGCCAAAGTTATGGCCCTTGATCACTTTGAAAAATCTTGTGACGCTCTAGAGGCTAAAGTTATCATACGTTTGACTTCAGATTGATACACAGAGTTTAAGATCTTGAGATGAACAAGTATATTGATTTTCAATGAATTTTTATAAAAGACTTGAACAGCTAAATCCATGATATTAAAAGTTTTGTATACTAAACATTAGGGGGGTTGGATGGCTGAATGGTTAGCGTGCGCGCGCTGTATCATAAAGTCTGTCATTGAGTCGACTGGCGTGGTTTCGAATCCCCGGTTGTACGTGGCAAGGAGTAGGGTCGCCTGTCCAACCTCGTGGGTTTTCTACGGGTCCTCCGGTTTCCTCCCACTGCTAAAGACCCCTACGCGCAAGCGAATTATGTAAATAAAATTAAACCATATGTTAGTCCCGAAATGACCTAGTTTGTGTCGAGTGGACGTTAAACCCCATTTCTCTCTCTCTCTCTCACTAAACGTTAGCATGGAGGAGAATTTTATAAAAACCAAACAGATTCTAATGGTTTTCTGATAATTACTTCATGAGTTGTTACTCTTAATCAGATTTTAGTGTATTATAAATGTTTCATTACCGAAAAAAAGTAAAAATATGCGGCAACACTTGTTGACTTCCCGGACGATTTAGCTGCTGTGGGGTATGTTTCGTCGCCTGGAAACCTATCTTACTGTTGGCAAGGATACAGTTATAAAAATGGAAAGTAAACTGATATTTCCTTATTCACAAACGAAACACTAAAGTGAAGACCATGGCGTAATCAAAGGCTGTCAATGTTGCTCAAGACAGAACAATTGACCAAGCTCTGTTATTTCATAGGTTCCTGGTAGTGTCACAGTCTGGAGAGTTGAGCTTAGATGAGGTGGTGAAACACAAACTCTCTACATATCCACCCTCCTTGTTTAAGTGCAAACATCAACTACAAACTCTACTTTCGATCAGACAAAGGGAAGCCAAATGTGTATAACATCAAAGTTTTGAAGAATCTTGGCAATGGTGGCTTTGTTCAATGGGACAAATTCTGAATCCCTGTTATCATTGCGATATAGTTACCTCTGATTAAAATAAATGTAAAGTGTGTCGTTTTGATTTTGCATTAAACTAAATGTTAAGTTTGTCGTTTTGATTTTGCATTAAAATAAATGTTAAGTTTGTCGTTTTGATTTTGCATTAAAATAAATGTTAAGTTTGTCGTTTTGATTTTGCATTAAAATAAATGTTATGTTTGTTGTTTTGATTTTGCATTAAAATAAATGGTAAATTAGATATTTGTTTTTAATTTAAATACACTGTAAGTGGAATATTGGAAAATAATTTAGGCCTCATCAGAACAACAGTTATTTAAGTTACGGTGCATGAATATTTTGTCATCATCAAGGGAAACAACTCTTGTTAGTATCCGAATTATACCGGAAATTAAGTTTAACGAATGACAACCTGGCTGCGCAAAGGGATTTAATGAACTTGTTTGAAGCCGGTAGGCATCTATTCTATGTTTATATCAACCCCAAACAACAACAATATGCACATCAAACATAATCTTTATTATTAAAGTAATCTATAATACATTAATACAATTTAG